CATAACATGTATCCATACCTATACACATGCACACGTATACAAACACATAAAATGCTATTTTGATCTCTATTGCACCTACATAGAAGACTAAAATAACCACCCAGTCTAAATCAGGCATCTGCACTCCAAAAGTTACTATGAACTGAGTATTCCTAAGCCAAATGCTCTCAAATCTAAAGTATTTTTGAGTACTAATAAGATGCCACAGAGGGAAATTCCACATCATATAATTTCTGTTTCATTTGCGAAACTATTGACCATATTACATAAATTACCTTCTGGTTATGTGTACAAAGAATATATGATTTTTAATTCAATGATTAATTTAATTAATCGATTAATTTAAATTACTTAATTGTAGTGCGGTAATGGAACCCAGGCCTTCGAACACACTACAGCAGTCTTATAAGATATATTTGAAAGATAAATGAATTTCATATTTAAATTCAGACCTCATCTCCTAGACTTATCTTTGTGTATATGTAATAGTCCCAAATCAAAAACACTGGTCCCAACTATGTCAGATAAGGGTTATTCAACTTATACAAACACATTTTGGCTATCTAAATTTGCACTGAATGATTAATTGGCACTAAGAATTGCAAAGCAAAAAATTAAGAATTTTTATACATTAGAAAAATGAATGCATATACTATACATTATCTTCAAGCAGGCTTTGGAGAAGCCATCAACCATACTAAGGCTTGTGCTACCTGGAGGAGGCTATTCACACTAAGTTGCATAAGAACTGTAATAAGTACCTCTCATCAATGAATAACTTTCTGTTAGCAGAGCTGATTAGGATTTGGCATTATAGATAAGGGATTTCAATTCATACCAAACATTTCCATTGAAAGCTGATGTTGAACGTCACACGTTGCACTTCCTGAACACTATTCCATATGCAAATACAACCCTTCAGCTCTCCAGAATTTGACTGACAATAGTGTATATTCAGAATACAGCTGGGAGGTAAGTGGAGAGTGATGGTAAAAGGCCTCTCAGAGGCACCACACTGGCACAATGACCATGTGCTGGAAAGTGTAGCATCCACAAAAGCCCCCATATCTTCAATCTGATCTGCTCTTTATACACAACACATATAAGAACTAGTAAATAGAATCACAGATAGGCCTGAGAGGCGGGTACAAAGTAGTAACCAAGAATAGCAGACATTTTAATAACAAAGAAGAAAAATTAAACTCACAAGAAAGTAAGAGCCTGACAGTATAGACAAAATAATTCGAATTCCAATCCCAGCTACATCAGCATGAGCTGTGTGATGTTGAGGAATTCTTTAACATCTATGCTTCAGTTTATCAGCAACATAAAGCTAATGAAGATGCAGCCTGACTCCTGGGACTGTTGGGAGATCACGTGACAGTGCTTACAAAGAGCTTACCACAGTGTGGGACAATGAGAAGATGCCCAGTAAGATCCACAGGCTAACAGTACAGCAGGCACACAGGACAGCATAACAGCTTGAATCAAGTCACTCCCAACTTCAGAATTCAGAGCATGGAGAACATTACCACTTTTAGTCTCAAAAAACTATCATTTTGCACACAAAGGGTCACAACTGGCTAAGTTTAAGACAATAAGAAACTATAGAGTCCATGTCCCTGGATAGGACTCTTATACTAAACCTCATCCAACCACAGCTCAGAGACCACTGAGGAAGAGGGGGTGGAAAGATTGTAAGAATTAGAGTTAGTGCACGAACAAAAGGAATCAGAGCCCTTCAGTCCTCTGGGAACTTACTCATGTGAACTCACAACAATGATGACAGCATGTACAAGACCCACACACAGAATGGGAAAATGGGAAGCAGGTCCCAATCCTAGCCAAGGAATTATTGGCAAATGATTACTGTGGGGTGAGAGAGAGCAGATCTTCTTTAAGGGAGTGACTCTAGACAGGCCAACTAGACTCTCATGGATGAACTGAGGGATATCTGGATACAAATGCTTAACTGGATAGGACTTAACATATATGACATTACCTGAAATCTGGTGGGGGAGGGGACTATGTGCAGTGGGGAAGGGAGACGGGGTCTAAACTTGATTAAGATGTATTATATGAAATGCACAAAAACTCAATTAAAATATGGGAAAAATATCATTTTGGCTGCTCTGCGTGAATTTGAACATGTCATTTAACTTTATGAGCCTGAAGGTGTCAGATCAACCCACGTGTTCTCGCAGGAGATATTAAATTGTTCCCAGAGAAGGAGGAGGAACAACTTAAATCATTTTATGTCTAAATCTAAAGCTTACCAGCACAGTACAGAAACAGATACATGGGATCAACAGCATTGTTAATAAAACTTCAAAGCTGAGGCAGGAAGATCACAAATTTGATGCCATTCTGGGTTGTACTGTGAGTTCACAGCCAATGTGAGCTGCATGCACAGCGAGACTATGTCTCAAAAATAGTTAGCTAATTAATTAATATGTCAGGGGGACAGAAGACTCTAAAAGTTCCTTGGAAAAGAGATAATGAAAAAGTTGAGGTGCTGGAGTGATAGCTCAACAGTTAAGCACACCGGCTGCTCTTGCAGAGGACCTGTTTTCAGTCCCCAGCATCCACATGACAGTTAACAACTGTCTGTAATTCCCACTCCAGGAAATCCAACACCCTTTTTTGATACTCGTAGGCACTGCATGACATGGGTACAGTTACATACATGCAGGGATTACACTCACACACAAAAAATAAAAAAAATAAAATATTTTATTAGGTGGAAAAATACTGGTTTGAACTAGAAGGTCATCTATAATGGCCAAAAGTTCTTTAGATCTATCTTTATAACAATAATATAAAGAATGCAAAAGAAGTGTAATATAGATTCCCATATCGTGTTTCAGAGGGTAAGGAATGGTTTATATATTCCAGAAAGATGTCTATTTAGAACAGTTAAAGACTGTACCTATCACACACACACACACACACACACACACACACACACACACACAGTTTCATTAGCGGAACCCTAGTTGTCACATGAAAAGATCCTATGAGCCACAGTTCTATTGTATTTTTTCAGTTGTATAAGTAATAATATTATCAAACCATGTCTAAAAAGTAATATAATTATGTATTTCCTGAAACAATACAGAAAGAAAATAGCATAAGGACAAGTAACGACCACAAAACTGGAGCTCTGTGGCTGTCTTCACTGTGATAAATGAAAGATCACCTTGGAATGTAATTCATTTTTAATTGCCTCTTCCATCTATTTTAGCTACTGCTGTAGGTTAACTTCAGATGTTTACAGAGTAAAAGCAAGAAGAGCATCAAAGTCACAGACCACACATTTTACAGTGAGTGGTCAATTTTTCTAATATTGCTTATAAGAAAAGCAAAGTCATAATTCTCATACATGGAATTTCTAGAAACAAAGTAGTTTTAAGGACTACCTCTCTGCTGTCACTAGTTCACATTCTTCCCTATTTTAGTTACAAGATCCCTAATCCATCCAAGCAATGTGTTAGGATGTAAGAAAATTATAATGCTAGAAATACAAAATTCAAGCCATTGTCCCTTAAGCCTTTGCAAAATTTTGGATTTGTTACACTATTAGTCTGACTTCTTCCAGCATCTGAGGATAACTAACATACACTCATTCTTATATTCTCCTCTCATAATCTTCTTCAAGGAGTTTGCATAACCAACCACTTTGAAGAATCTGACTAAACATAGTATCTAACAGGGCCAGTGAGATGGCTCAGTGGGTAAAGGTGCTTTCCACCAAGCCTAACAGCCTGAGTTCAACATCCAGAAAACACCTGGTGGAAAAAGAGAACCAACTCCTACAAGTTTTTCCCTGGCCTCTACATGAGTGTAGTGGCACATGTGCATGGGTACACACACACACACACACACACACACACACACACACACAGCACAAATATATAAATGTAAAAATAAATAAAAATTTTTCCATGTTAAGCTATCATTAAATTTTTGGCCATCCTTTATTATGAGCAGTATAAATCACGAAGTGTTCTGATACCAGTGTTATCCACTGCAAAATAAACATGTTTTAAGTAAGTTGTAGTGCACACCTTTAATCCCAGCTCTTAAGAGGCAGGGGTAGGTGGATTTCTATGAGTTCAAGGCTAGCCTGATCTACACAGCAAGTTCCAGGCCAGCCGGGGCTTCATAATGAGGCACTGTCTCAAAACAATAACAACAGAAAAACGTGTTTTGATATCAAAATAATTTTTGGGGAATTTCATTTGCATAGAAAGGAGTTTTGAGAAACCATAATTTCACTTAAGTACAAGCATTCCCAGTATGCTATGTGAAATAAATAATTCTTAATTGATGGTGAAGATAGAATGCAATCTTAAAAAGACGCTAACTACCATTTGTGGTTTCTCAAATACTACAAGATTAAGTAATCATAAAACCTCTCTTATAAACACATATGCTACTTTAGAATAGCATTAGAACTATTCAGAAACACATATGTTTTTCCAGATACACTGACTAGAGACAGTGATGGAAAGATAGTCAATTGCTTGAAAACATTATCAGAGATTACTTCAGTGGTCGAGTGGTGGATCTATAGTGCCTGGTCCTCAACTGAGAATGTCCCAGACAAATATCACACATTGTTATAATAATGATTAGTGCTAATGTTACCCTGAAGTATTTATAACTATTGTGTTCCACACTAGAGTATTGAAGTATTCTAGATAATACTAAGATGCACAAGAAAATAACGCATAAAATAATTACTAGCAAGGTATATTCGAGGAAAACCTGCATTGTAGAAATTCAAGAAAATATCGTACAATATACAATACTGCACTATGTATAATAATGTGAACTTAGTACCACACAATTTAAAAGTAGAAAAAATAATAAAATAAACTTCTAGCAGGTGCATGAGAAAGCCAAAGGGATTGGATTCCCAACTTGGCAATATGCATTTCACCAAGGGATTGGATTCCCAACTTGGCAATATGCATTTCACCAAGGGCTTGAGTTACCTCTGTTTGAGATTGATCCATGATGTTTTCAAGTACTCAGTGGTTTCTTTGACATTCCTTGTGTCATCATTACCATATTCTTCCAGGAGTTTCTGCAGAACGTTATTGAATGCCATGATGACTCCATCACCAGATCCCAGTTCTTGAAGCAATAGCTAAGGTTTAAGTTGAAGCATAACTGTTAGATCTGGTCACTCAGTAACCAGAACTACACAACCACTAGTATTCCTAGGAAATTTTAACATGTTTTAGACACAGAGGAACAAGAAAAAAACAAGTATGAGGACAAACCTCACATGTAAACTTAAACCTAAATAATTCTAGAAGTGGGAAAAAAATACGTGGGAAGGGGCTAGGGAAATGACTCAGCAGTTAGGAGTGCATTCTGCAGAGCACATGAGTTCAATTCCCAGCAAGTACCCACGTCAGGCAGCTCACAACTGCCTACAATCTAGCTCCAGGAGAATCCAAGGTCCTCTTCTGGCCTCTGTGGGTACCTGCTCTCACATGCACATACCACCCTCCACCACGTGTATATAATTAATAAATATAATTAAAAAATCAATCTTTAAAATGTAAAATGCCTGAGAAATTAGAAGCATTAAAAGATATTAAAATATTATCTATTACAGATATTTGACTTCCTCAAACCATTTGACCTTTTCATTCCTTGTGCTTTACATCTGAGTCTCACAGGACACGAATCATATTGAAATAAACCAAGCTTCTCTATAACGTGCTTGATTAAGAGCAAAGACCAACATGGTAGAAGGCCTCAACCTTTGCCCCCAGATCACTGGGTGAGTTTGTGAGGGTAACAGTTTAGATGGATCAATCAGACAGCCAAGCAAGGTTTGCTAAGCATTTGTGGGAACAGCTACACAGACACAAGCATGGATATCATAGGCACTGGCCCCCTGACAGTTTTGCAACTCCAGAGAGTCTCTAGAATAAGTAATTCTCCATTTAATGACAGGTGAATGTGTCTGCCATTTAAATGACAGGTGAATGTACCTGCCATTTTTGAACGATTAGAAAAAGAAAATCTACCTTTCTTAGAAGAAAAACAACAACACTGCCAATTAGAGTATAATAGATCATCCCATAGTACTTGTAAAAGAGCACATCAAAACCCGTCCCCTCAAGGATACCAAATTCAAAGCTATCCCTTAGATTAAATAACATAGTGTTGGGGGCTGGAGAGATAGTTAAGAACACTGACTGTTCTTGCAGAAGACCTGGGTTTGAATCCCAGCACCCACATGGCAGCTAACAACTGTCCATTACTCCAGTTCTGGGGACCCGACAGCCTCTTCTGTTCCCCACGGGCATTGCACGACACAGGTGTACATATCTACGTGCAGGCAATACACACAAATACATAAAATAAAAATAATAAATAAAATCTTTAAAAAAATAAATAACATATAGTGTCTGCACAGTAACCTGCATGTGTCTGTCTTCCTTATACTTTAAATCATCTGTAGATTACTTGCAGTCCTAATATAATGAAAATGCTACATAAACAATTGCTATACTGTAGTGTTCATGGAAAGGCAAGGCTAAAAAAATAAAAATCTATATGTTCGGTGGAGTTGCAAACATCATAGGCTAACTTCGGGGAACAAGAACTACAGTTGATTCAATCTACAGACATGGATCCTGAAGGCCAATTGTGATCTGGGTATGAGGATGGAAATACAGGGGATCACTTTTTAAATTATCTATTTATTTCTTTTTATTTTATGTGGGTAATGCTTTGTTTGCATGTACATAAGTGCATCACATACATCCAATGCCTTCAGAGGCTAGAAGAGGGCACTGGATCCCCTGGAACTGGGATTATGAATGGTTGTCAGTTGTCATGTGGCTGCTGGGAACTAAACCCAGGTCCTTTCAAGAGCAGTCAGCACTCTTAAGAACTGAACCATCTTTCCAGTCCCTGGTGATCATTTTTTAGTTAGATTCTTCTAGTTATGTGCCCCAGGGCTCTGCTATTACTCTGGAAAATCGGCAGACACCACAAACACACAGAACAATTGAGAACCCAGCAGACCTGGCCACTTGGCTCTTACACTATACCATGGGAAGGCTACATGTGTGAAGATTTCAAATATGTTTCCAGGCTTTAGATTTCATTTTTCATACATTCTAGATTACTGTATTGGTCAATTCTTCCAATCTTTAATCTCAGACTATCTGAAGGGTGAGTACAATGTTTACCAAAGCATAAGTACGTGGCCACACCTCTAATTCAAGAATGTTTTCTATGATTGCAGAAGGAATTTAAAATAACACACTTTAAACACACCACAAGTGTTCAACATTATCAATTCTATAATCCAGCTGTCCACAGAAGATATACCTACTATTAACAGAACCATCAATATTAAATATTAAAAGTAACTATACTCAGAAACTGATGTGCTCTATAGTAGCACTTATATGAAAGTCTCAGAAAATGTTATATATCCTCCAGGGTAAGCAAGAAAGGGAATAAATGAGGTTTCTGAAACCCTGAAGATGTTTTCTTTGTAAGATGTTTGTTTATGGGTCCATTTGCAAAAATGCACACTCTTTATTTGGCATGCCTCTAGGAATCTTTCCAAAATAACCAAAACCTTTATGATCAATGGGAAAACTTGGCAGGCACCTAAGAATATTTAGCAATAGAAAAAATAATAATAATACAACAAATGGTGCCACCAAAAACTACCCAATGAGTCTTACCTGGTTATCAGAAATCTGTTTGCTAAGTGGATCCCGTCTGGCCTGCTGAAGCATGTAGAGCCGAGCCTCGAATTTTCTCATGAGTTCTTCAGTCTCCTCCCTGTGGTCATCCCACCGCAGGCTATCTGAGATCATGTCCTCAAGCTGCCTCTGCCGCAGCTCCACACCATGCTGCGTGCTCTCCCACTGGGTCTTCACCTTTTCCACTGGGAAACAGAACCAAAAAAAAAAAAAAACCCTCAACATTGATGGTCAGAAGAGAGAAAAATACCCGATCCGAGATTTGTCATAAATAAATCTAGAAATAGAAAGGGACAAAATGATACACATGTCTTAAAGGAACTCTAATATATGTCGCCATAATAATATCTACATATATGTTCTAGTCTGCTTTCCAACTGTGACAAAACATTCTAACCAATACCAACTTGGGGAGGCCTCAACATTGATGGTCAGAAGAGAGAAAAATACCCGATCCTAGATTTGTCATAAATAAATCTAGAAATAGAAAGGGACAAAATGATACACATGTCTTAAAGGAACTCTAATATATGTCGCCATAATAATATCTACATATATGTTCTAGTCTGCTTTCCAACTGTGACAAAACATTCTAACCAATACCAACTTGGGGAGGAAAGAGTTTATTTGTCTTACATCTCTCGGGTCACAATTCATCAGGGAGCCCAGGGTAGGAACTCAGGGCAGGAACCTGGAGGCAGGAGCTAGAGCACAGGCCATGGAGGAACGCTGTTTAATGGCTCGCTCCTCTGGACCTTGCTCAACCTTTCTTATAAAGCATAGGGCCACCTGCCCAGGGGTGGTACCACCCACAGTGGGCTGGGCCCTCCCATTTCACTCAATAATCAAGAAGATGCCCCACAGATGTGGCCACAGGCCAGTTCGATAGAGGCAATTCCCCAGTTGAGGCTCCTTCAACCCAGGTGTGTCAAGTTGACAACTACAGCTATCCAGCACAATACACAATATCCTAATTTGTCATATTATATTATGTAATTAGTAATACTCTATAACAATAATGCATATTATATATTGTGTCCTGTTTTCATATATATAATAGATATGTGTATGTGTATGTGTGTGTGTGTGTATATATATATATATATATATGGTTTTGTACCTGTCTCCAACTTGAGATCCTGCTGCCTGACTCCTGAATACTAGGATTATCAGCATGTGCCACCATACCCAGCTCACTAAATTTTATATCAGTGCTCGGTTCAAACAGGGCCTCTCACATGCAATGCAAACACTGAGCTACATCCACAACCCTTAAAAATTATTTTATTTATGTACGTTATGGTCTTCCTATGTTTCCCAGACTGGCCTTGAACCTGTGATCCCCCTGCCTTGGTCTCTCACACAGCTAAGGTTACAGACAGGTCTACGCTACCAAGTCCAGCTTTTATTCAATGTATTTATAAAACTACTCCTGAGGAGGAAAACAATTCTGAATAAAACTTTTACAATTTATTTTATTATTTTTATTGTGCTTCTCTGTGTGTCTGTGTGTCTTGTGTGGGTATGTACTTGTGAGTGGACATGCCCATGGAGGCCAAAGGCATCAGATCCCCCCCAGAGCTGGAGTTACAGGCTTGTGAGCTGCCTGATGTGGGTGCTGGAAACCGAACTCAGGATTGGCAGTATACGCTCTTAACAACTGAGCCGTCTCTCTAGCCCCTAAAACTTTACTTTAAATGCACTAATCATCTCATAATACAAATGTCTATTATAAAGTGGCCGAAAAAGAATCTAAAGAGAACAGTACTCTGGCTGTTTCTACATTCACACACATTTGACACAGGCAGAATTTTAATGGTGCTCTGTGTCAGGACTTCAACAGACAGATACAGTCTCTTGATGCCTTCAAAGAAGTCTCTTAAGCAGTGTGGGTTAAAAAAAAAACTATTGAAGAACACATTTGACAGTTGCTTTACATGAAACATCTCTAAAAGGTAATGTTTTTATTTTATTTTTATTTATTTATTTATTTATTTATTTATTTTATTATTTGGCTGCAGGGATTCCTTGTAATCACCAGTTGGCCTAAAACTCACTATGTAGACCAGGCTGGCCTCAATCTCAGAAATCCACCTGCCTCTCCCTCCTGAGTGTTAGGATTAAAGGTGTGTGCCACTATACCCAGCAAGGTAGTGTTTTTACAAATTCAAGTTCAATAGAAATACTGTGAATAAAGAAAGGGCAAGTTCTAGGAGCCTATGAGCTTTTCATCATCAAATTTTCATATTGGCTTTTTTTCCTATTACTTCCTTTTTCTCCCCACTGTTTCCAGCTTACCCATGTCTGCCTCTCTGACCCACATCTTCTCTCCTCCCCCTTTCTGACACTCTCTCTCCTCTTGCTGCTTTTTTTTTTTTAAATCATAGACCTAAGGAAAGAGAGATCTAAGGAAAGTTGAACTTTTAGTTCATGACTTCAGGGGAAGTTCATAATAATGGACTGAAATCCCAGTAAATAATAGGTCTGAATATCAGCAGCAGGCAGATGACAAGCACAGGGCTCGCTGACTTCAGGACACTAGACAACTGAAGGTCAGAGAAGTACTGAGCCTAAGAAGAACCTAACTCCAAGATAAGGTTCCAGTTAAGGGACTGGAGAGATGGCTCAGTGGGTAAGAGCACTCACTGCTCTTGCAGAGGGTCTAAGTTAGGTTCCCAGACTCACATGGTAGTTCACAACCATCTATAACTCCAGTTTCAAAGGATCCAACACCCTCTTTGTGTCTCCCTATGCATCAGGCATGCAGATGGTACACATACATATATGCAGACAAAACATACATACTACAATTTTTTTTAAAGAGAAGATTCCAATAATTGAATTACAATGGAACATTCTGGTAATACTCTCAAAATAATATATGGTTATTGTGAACCATAAAAGCTATCAACTCATGATTATTCAGAAGGATGAAAGTTAGATTTACATGTCATAACTGAAAAAATTGCTCAATGAGATTCTCAGCTGCATGCTGCTTTAACACTGTAAAGATACGGCTCAAAGTCTTAGCCTAAGGGTAGCTAAAACTATCATAAAGTACTTATGACCAATTCTGTTACTAATAGAATTCATTAATTTGTGCAAATAAAACTTAAAAGTATCAACTGGCAACAAATATCACAGGTTCATCACAACAAATAAGCAAATTACCTTATTCACTGTAAGTGCTGAACACAGGTTTCTGTGAGTAGCACACTGCAGCTGACAAGGGCCCTTTGCATACCATAAGGAACAATGAAGACTACTTAGTTTCTACACACACACACACACACACACACACACACACAGAAAGGGCGTGAAAAGAAAAGAGGGAAACACATGAGGAAGGGAAGATGTTCAGGATATGGAAAATCTTGTTGAAAAAAAAAAACTATTAGGGTTGTGATTGTAGCTCAGTAGAATGCTTTCCTATTATGCACAGAACCCTGGGTTCAATTCATCAAACCATAAACTTAGCATAATGATTGGAGCCCTTGCATAATGCCTGCAATAGCAGCACTCAAGAGGTAGAGGCAGGTCATTCAGAAGTTTGAGGTCATCTACATCTACGCAGAAAGTTTAAATGCAGCCTGGGCTATATGAGACTCTGTCTCAATAAATAAATAAATCACTAAAATAAGCTCTGAGCAGATGATCAGAAAGCAAAATGGGAGTGTTGCTGTAAATGGGTTTGTGCCATGAACCAAGATGTCCCTCCATAAAAGGGAAAGCAGGACCACTCCAGAGTCCCCTATCACACAAGACCCTGAAACCACCAAGTAATGAAACAAGGAAGATTAAAGAAAAATGGCTCTTTTAGTGAAAATCAGTCAATATCACCAGTCACAGAAAGTTCTTAGCTAACACATCTCCTCTAGTAACTCTTGCTACTACATTTATTTGGAAAGCAGAACACACCTGTTATGCACATTGTTAACTTTCTTCCCTCAAAAAAGACCCAATTTTATTCTCCCAGTTTATATTCTGAAATGTATATTCATTAAGAACGTCATCTGAACTGGGCCCTATGGGAGGCCCAGGGGCCAGAAATGGCAGTATTCACAGTCTACAGATGGGAGAGAAAACTAAAGTAGCCAAGAGAGCCACAATGAAACGATGGGCTACAGCTGCAGCAGGACCTAGAGATGAAAACAGGGTTCATGGGGAAAAGAAGAGGGAAAAGAAAACTTCACAAAGGAGGTGACACTTCAGCAGCTGAGTAATTTCACCTTGGGAGAAGAGACCAAAAGAGGGAAAAATAAAAATGCACGTGAATGGGAGACACCTGGATGTCTGAAAGAGTATATACAACATGGGATGGCTGGTTGCAGAGGGGGCCGAGGGCTGCAGGGGGAGGGGAGGCTAATGAAGACAGGTTGGGACCGTCATCAGATGTCATTCTTGAGAATTCAGACTTGCTCTGTGTCCCACAAACATTTACGGTCCTTCTGAGCCCCCATCTCATTCCAAACAGGAACATTTGTTTGTTAGGCTGTTGTATGCTCGTTTTGTAGGTTGCCTAATTTTGTCTTTAGCTAAAGCATCCCACTTCAGGGCCCGTCAAAAAGACACATGGTAACTGCTCAACAGACATGTATGGAGTGAATTCTGAGGTGAGTTAAAAAACTTGGTGACACCCAGTTTCAGTGAATAAAGTGTAATTGAAGAATGGATTTGTGAGACTATGAGTTTCACCAGTTTTGATTCTTTCAAAAGAAATCCTGGAGCTGAAGAGCTGGCTCGGTAGTTAAGAGTGCTTGCAGAGGACCCGAGTTCCGTTCCCAGCACTCACATCAGGAAACTTGCACCAATTTGCAACTCCATCTCTGAGGAATCTGACTCCCTCTTCTGGCCTCTGCAGGCACCCACAGGAATATACTCACATGTAGACACATACATCCACATGGATTTAAAAAGAAAACTTTAAAAAAACTCAAAATCCTAACTTAAGAGAAGAAAAAAGAAATCTGTGAACAAAGTACATAAGGGAATTATGAATATATTCTCAAGAAGTGAAAACATTTTAAAAAGCTGTATTTCTTCCTCAATAAAGAGTACCAATGGGGCTGGAGAGATGGTTCAGTGATTAAGAACACTGGCTGCTGTTGCAGAAGACTCAGGTTCTATTCCCAGCACCCACGTGGCAGCTAATAAGCATCTTTAACTCCACTTCCAGGGGATCCGGCGCCCTCTTCTGACCTCCGTGGGCATTGCATGACATAAGTGCACTTGAATACATACAGGCAACATACTCATGCACATAAAATAAAAATAAATAAGAAAACAGTACCAAGTACCAAATATCAACTTCTAGTAGAACAATCTTTGAAAATGTGTAGTGAACATTAAAGAAAGTGGATGATAACATATAGTCATGGGTTTAAAACTCACATTTTTCTGTGATTGCTGTTCTCACATCGGAACTAGAAGCTTTGTTTTTCAAATTCTGTGCCAATGTAAAAACAAAATCAAGCTGAGGGTGGCGCTGTTCCAAGTCAGCCTTTGTGATCTGTGAAGAGAAACGATGAAAGGAGGTTAACATGGTGTTCCATATGCAAACAGGTCTGCTGACATCCAAGTGCTTGTAGAGGTGTGATTTCTTCCTCTAAGGGTCAAAAAGCATTAGCAATGTAGCAGAAGAAGAGCACGTGACCTGGGTTCAAATCTCAAGTCTTCCACTAATGACCCAAGTAACTACAAAAGACATCTCAACTCTCTGTCTTAACAACAGCTAAATTCTATCAGGTCTGAGATTAAATCAAGGACATCTACATAAAAATGCTTTGAAAACGTATACAGTCGTTTAGACTGACACCTTCTGCATGTGCATGTGACACATGCTAGCATCCCATAAGGGTAAAAGTGGTGATATATTAGAAAAGAGGCAATTACAATAACTGCAAATTAAGTCGACTTAGACATGAAAACTCTTTTAGATGGACTGTGTCTCTTAGGACTCTATTTTAATTAAAGAATTAATAAATGCCATAAAGATTAGAAAACACAATCTACAGTTAGTACACACAGTGTGGTAAAAGATTTTTTTCCAGCCTGTCTCTTGATCTCACTCATTCTGGAAGCTTCAATCCCTCCTTAGAGGACAAGTATTTACAAAGGAGGAACTCACATTCCAACCCTGGATCCCAGAGCACAATTCTGTGACTGTTGCTTATTTTCATCCCTCAGAACATCAGATCCAAACTATATGACTCAAACCCTCATTAGCACTGCATTTTCCCTCCTTTTTATTTCCTCTATTTGCAACAGCATCGCCTTAGCCCCCCAAGAGGGCTCTTTTCTTTGATTTAAGCATCTCTTGCCTCCCATCCATCCTCATAGTCTTACTAAAGCCAAGCATTGTTACCAGGAGTTGCCAGCCACAATTCAGAAAAGAAAAAGAAAAGGGAGAGGGGAGATTTGCCAACTACTTCCAGACTCAAAGTCCACGGGACTCTACACACCTTGCAAGCCCTGACGGAGAGCTCAGCTACCTCTTCCACCTCACCTCCCGCCACATTTCTTTCTTGCACAAATGCTAAACTTAAAGCTCCTCATTCACCACACACCCTTTTACGTGGGATGCCAACCACTTTACCTCTGGATCTCAAATTCCCAGAGTCTGCTCCCATGGCTGTAGAAGCAGCTCCTTTCTCAGCCTGTCTCCTTGAACACATGCCTACGCTTGCCCTGTAACTTTTATTAGACACTGCTTTGTAAAGCAATCTGTTTGCTTCATGTGCTTACTGTCTCCACCTCTTAAAAGTTTCAACTTCTTGATAGCATAGGAATAAAACAACTGACCTCACCAGACTTAAAGGAGTGAGATAATACAAGTAAATTGTTTAGAAAAATGTCTACCACACATTAAGCACTTAGTAAAAGTTAGCAACAGCTGCTATTATTTTTTATTATTATGGACATTTCTATCTTGAATAGTCTTTTCAGTATTTCAGTATTACTCTAAAACAGACAACCCATAGCCCAGCATACACTAAATATGGAAAAAAGAACTTTCTAAGTTACTACTAGATGTATATGTACAGTAAGAAAAAATACACACACACACACACACACACACACACACACAGAAAAAGAGACAGAGAGAGAGAGAGAGAGCACATGAGGAGACTCTCATTTCTAAAGTTAGAAGTGAAATGAGCTCATTGTGAAATCTAAGATACAGAAGTTCTTTTATGAATTATTCCTCATCAGAGTGGGCACTAAATGGAGAAGCTGTTTGCTACACTGCTGTCCTCAGCTTTATAAAGTCTACAGTGTTAAGATTTTTATACTGCATCTTGACCTCAAGTTCGTCAGCTTGCTCTCAGAAACAGAAGAAAAGTTACTCTTTGGAACTAATGCTGGATGGCTGATTGGTGGACAAAGGATATTTTAAATCTTTTTCTCTCAGAGTTGAGGGTAAACAAATGAGATCCAAGGTACTCTCAGGTAACCTCTACTGGGGGTGGTGCCATGACAAGCCTTTATACTATGCACCTACTTTCATCCGGGAAACTGTCTTATTGATCTCTTCCACATCCCCCACAGTCACAATGTTGGACTTCAGCATTTGGTCGATCAATACCAGCCAATCGGCCAGTTCTGTGATGGTTTTATCCAGATCAGCAGGAACAGAGATCTCTGGGGCACGCACAGGAGTGTCTGATGCAGACGACAGCAGTACCACCTTTTGGACGTTAGGATGAGCTGAAATTTAAAAAGCAGCAAAATGGAAATAGATCAATAGTATATCATGATTATGGAATATAGTGGCACATACATGTACTTATACATACATAGATACACATAGTGGTATATATACACAACTTGCATCTGTATGTATTAAGTAAAATTTCCTGTCAAAAATCTAAAAGTCTCTGCGTAGTGGCACACACCTATAATCCCAGCACTTGGGAGGCAGAGGCAGGTGGATCTCTGTGAGTTCAAGGCCAGCCTGGTCTACATAGTGAGTTCCAGGACAGCTGGGGCTACAGGGAGACCCTGTCTCAAAAAAGACAAAAAAAAAAAAAATCTTAAAGTCTCTAAACTGGTGTGGTGGTCCACTCCTATAATCCCAGCACTGCAGAGTTAGAGGCAGGTGGATCTCTCTGAGAGTGAGGTCACCCTGATCTATAGAGTGAGGTCCAGGCCAGTTGAGGCTACAGGGAGACCCTGTCTCAAAATTTTAAGAAGCTGGGCGTGGTAGCGCACGCCTATAATCCCAGCACTTGGGAGGCAGAAGCAGACAGATTTCTGTGAGTTCGAGGCCAGCCAGATCTCCATAGCAAATCCAGGCCAGCTAGGGCTACAGGGAGACCCTGTATCAAAACCAAACAAAAAAAAAAAAAAAAAAGACCAAAAGAAGGATGTCTAAGATTCACATTGAAATGCTATGACATGGTTTTAAATATTCACATGTATTTGACAGCATAAATCCAACTCAATAGAACCCCAGAAAATTCTAGGCCAGCAATAACTCACACATGATCAACACTAACACTAAAAGAAATTAAAAAACACACCAAGCATTAGAAAGTGGGGAGTACTATTTTGTTGGGTGAATTTTAAAGCCGTTCATTCCTAGTCTTTGTGTTTACTTTTTCATTTAACTTTATGGTACGTGCATGTTTAAGCCTTAACACTAACATGAATACCTATCTAACAATCTACCCACACACTCACTGACTTTTACAAAACCCTTTTCCTTCAGCTGGGCATGTGGACTGCTCCTGAAATTTGTTCTTTAGCAAAGAACTTATATCTTTTTGTGAATAGTGTTTCCTACATTTCCAGTTACCAACTTAGCAGAGATTTCTAAACATAGAATCACTGGATCAGAAAACGTTTAAATCCAAGTATTTTAATACTCCTTACTAAATGGAATTCAGATCACCAACAGCAGAGCCTGCACTGCTGAATACTTGGCAACACTGGCCAACAGGATTTGATTTCAGTAGACAAATGCACACCTGTCACCATTATTTTAGTGGGTATTTTATTACTTCAATGGAGGTTATTTTTCGTACTTGTGAGCCAAATATGGTGTTTTCATAACTGCATATGTTTTTAAAAATCTGCTTCCTTATTAATTTGTATGAAAAAAATAACCCCTTGCCTCAGTGTTTAAAACAATGCTTCTGGAGCTAGAGAGATGGCTCAACGGTTAAGAGCACTGACCGCTCTTGCAGAGGACCTGGGTTCGATTCCCAGCACCCACATGATGGCTATGAACCATCCTTAACTCCAGTTCCAGGGGAATCCAAAACCCTCTTCTGACCTCCGCGGCATTGCACAACACGGATGCACTCACATACATACATGCAGGCAGTACACTCATAGACATAAAATAATAATAAAATATTTAAAAAAAACAATGCTTCTGTCTGGAGATTTGGGGTGTGTGTGCGTTCTCTCCTTCCCTTTCTCCTCGCCCTCTCCCTCCAGCTTCTTTGTAAATGCATATATACTAACAAACGACATAGCCAAATTCATAAATCTTTGATGGACCATTATTCTCCATGTGTATGTGGAAGTTAGAAGACAACTTTCAGAAGTTGGTTCTCACCTTCCACCATGGGTTCCGGTCACCAAAGTCAGGTCCTCAGGGTGCATGGCAAGCTCTGTCAACTGCTGAACCATCTCACGGGCCTTCCCAAGCTTTTAAGTTAGAAACTCTTGTCTTTCTTTTAAAGATTTCATAAATGTGCTCTCTTTGTTTTTAAGGAGACGTTGACTGCTACTTTTCTTTAGTTTTACTATAAGATGTGGTTAACAAATAAATCCACCTGGAGTCTATATTAGTATAGGGGTATTTGATCAGAATTAAATAATTATCTAAAACACGCATACTGTAAATTCAATGAAAGTCTAATCAAAATCCTAATGGTTTGCATGTACAATGGCAAAATCATAGATGCCAATTCCTACTTGCAAAGTAATATAGAAATTGATCCCCCGCCATAAAAAAAACCCCAGCTTAACAGAAGTATTTCTGTAAGGACCCATGCCTTCCAGCTATTAATGATCCAGATGTCTTAGAAGGACCAATGATAACCATCTCTCTATAAGATAAACCCAGACATTCAAACAGACAAAAGGGGAAAGAAGAGCCACAGGGCATGGGTGGCGAGAAACCTGACTTGGAAGTGACCACATTACAGATCAATGCAGAAAAATTTACTGTTCAGAAAAAAGTGTCGCTTGGTAAGTAGCTCGAGGAAGTAAGGGGGCAGAATTTGACCTCACATGCATCATGGGAAAATTAATTGCATGAAAATTAAGGAACTAAATATAAGAACTGCAACTGTTAGCTAAAAATGTGAAAGAGTATCTTTATGATTTCAGAGCACTAAACATAAAAAAGAGAAGCTATTAATGGGCTTTAAAAGTTTTAAACCACAGAAAAGGATACCATAAATATGTATTTTTTAAATCCTCAAAAGATTGAAAAGGTGTTTGCAATATACGTGGAATTAATTAGTAACCAAAATGCTTGTCTTGTTTTTTGTTGTTGTTTTTGGTCAGTCTTAAACAACTAAATAGATAACCCACAAAAGACAAACACAAAGAAGGAAATTAAATATGAAAAATATGTTCAAACTCACTAAAAAACTGAGAAAATACAAATTAAAGCGAAACACTACATACACAGGTCACAGTCTGGCAAAGTCACAGCGAAGTTCTGGCCTCCTCGTGCCCCTTCTAAAACATCTGGATGATTAAACCACCACTGTTACCATCTTCATCATCGTGTCATTTGCTTTTCTTTCTCTCCTAGGTACACAGGGGCACTTCACTGGAAACTACGTGACATGTCATCACAACACACCAAACACAGAAGGGGGAATGAGAATCTAGTTTTCTTCTGTGAAGCCAGAGGCTTAAGAGGTTTTTGGTTTAGTTTGTTTTTAAATATTATTTATTTATTTTTATTCTGCACGTAAGAGTATTTTGCCTGCATGTGTGAAAGTGAACCCACGCATGCAGTGCTGGCAGAGGCCAGAAGATCCCCAGAAGGTATTGGATCCACTAGAACAGTTGTTAGCTGATATGTGGGTGCTGGGAACCAAGCCCGGGTCCTCTGCGACTGTGCACTGAATTGCTGAGCCATCTCTCCAGCAGCCCCACTTAAGAGGTTTAGAAAAGGTAAAGTGATGTCACTTTCTTAATTTTCTGTTGCTTTGAAACACAGGTAACAATAATGCCATAAAAACATATTTTGTTAGACTATAACAGATTTAGTACTACTATTTTTTTTTTTTTTAAATCTTTTTGAGACAGCGTGTCCCTGTAGCCCCAGCTGGCCTGGAACTCACTATGTAGACCAGGTTGGCCTCGAACTCACAAGAGATCCTGTCTCTGCCTCCCTAGTGCTGGGATTAAAGGCATGCACCACCACGCCTGACTGTACTGTTATTTTTTAAACATATTGATAAGCAACCATTTTGAAATTTTGTATACTAAATCAAAGGAACCTTGTGAGATTCCATTTATAGGAGACCCTCAAGAGAGACAAACTCTTGAGGCTAGAATGCAACTGGTGGATGCCAGGAGCTAGGAGTAGAAGTGACCTCTCAATAGCAAGACCCCTCCATTCAGAGTAACGGAGATATTTTGAAGTTAGATACAGGGAAAGTTTGCACAGTGCTGTGATGCCCTAAATACCCCTGATTTTTAAAAATATTTATTTATTTATTTATTTAATGTGTATGAGCATGCTGCCTGCATGTGTGTAAGTGCACTTGTGCTGTGCAATGTCTGTAGAAGCCAGAAGGGAATGCCAAATTCCCTGGAACTGGAGTTATGGATGGTTGCTAACCACTATGTGGGTGCTGGGATTCGAACCCGGGTCCTCCGCAAGAGCAGCCAGTGCTCTTAACTGCTGAGTCATCTCTCTAGCCCCCTCTTTTTTTTCTTTCTGAGACAGGGTGTCACTATGTAGCCCTAGTTGTCCTGGAACTTGCTATGTAGACCAGGCTGGTCTCCAACTCACAGATCTGCCTTTGTATCTGCCTCACTGCCTCTGTCCCCTGAGTGATGGGATTAAAGGCATACACTACCATACCTGGCAGAATTATTCATTTTAAATAGTTCATTTTAGTTTTTGAAAGGATTTTTTAAAAAGAAAAAAATAAATTAAGACATTATGAAGGGGCTGGACAGATGGCTCAGTAATTAAGAGCACTTACTCCTCTTGCAAAGGACCTGAGTTCTGTTCTCTGCACCCAAGCTGCATGGCTCACAACTGCCTATAACTCCAGCTCCAGGGGACCCAACGCCCTCTTCTGGCCTCTATGGGTACATACTCACACACATACACATAATTAAAAAATAAAATAAAAACATGTGCAGGAAGAAAGTCATGAGATTAGCTTCAGGTCTTTTATCTGTTCCAGGGATGACTGTCTTGAAAAGAACAAACTGAAAACCTAATGCAAAGTATGGTTCTGTCATTGGCCAGTTATACTTCTAAGTATATACGCAAATTTTACTGCTCCTTAGTCAAAACGATGCTTTATAAAGACAACTCATTGCAACCTTTCAAAATGCAGCAAATCCTTTCCTTACAGGCATGGAGTTGAAACTGTATTCTTTGTGAGTCAGCAAAATGTCAATTCAAGTGTTTTAGGTATGAATCAAGAAAACCAATCAGGCCCCAGGGATTTCTGGTGCAAAGCGCTAGGAAAAACAAGTAATGCAGATCACACAGAGCCACAAACAAGCCTGCAATATCAAGAAGTGAAGAAGAAACTGTGTCGTTCATCACATTTTTCTGTCCTCTCAGGGGGAAGAAGAGGAGGTGGAGGAGGTAGAGGAAGAAAGGCGACAGCGGGTAAGAAGTAGCAGGTGGGCGGGGCTGTAAAGGGAGAGGTGGTGAGGGAGGAACACAAAGAAAGACCAGCAGCAGCTGGTGTGAGAGGTTTCACTAGGTGACCCAACAGATTGCACATAGAGCGAGAAGGTTAGGGGAGCTGGCAAGGCAGCAGGAACAGCTCTGTGATCTACTTGGCAGAAAAAGAGAAGGAAATAAGAAAAGGAATTGTGAGAAAACATGCCTCTTTCCTTATCTAAGGGAATGGCATTTGCCAGCACATAGCTTCCCTGGATGTGGGGCGATCAAAACCCCCTCCCCTCTCACTTCCAACAACTTCTACACCGTGACCAGGCCCAAAGTGCACATGCTAAGCACATGCTGCCACGGCAGGTCATACCTGATGTAAAGGTGTCTATATCCATTAAATTTACCTCCTATTTCCCACCCAGTCTCTCCCCTTCCTTCAGCAGGACTCAGGGTGTTTCTTTCATTCAAGGAAAGGCAAGTCTTTTCACCCATAAGAGTCAACGGCTTCCCCATGCTGAGCAGCCAAATAGTCTTGAATTTACAATATAAAACAGCAATTGCATAATGGTGTTACATTTTTCTAGTTTACATAAGATGCTCATGTCCTGATTTTTCTACATTGACAACATTGCTGAAGAGTAAATGTATCTTACCAGCAACTCTCATCTGTGAAGCCAAGCAAGGCTCCTGGGTGCGTATCTTCTGTATGCCAGGCAATTCTTTGCATATCTGTAGCAGAGAGAGAAGGGTGCTACGTGAATAAAGATGACCTCATCTTCACAAGACAGGCACTGTTCTAAATGACCGCTTGGCCAATTTTCTTTCCACTGACACCTAGATTTGCATCTCCACCTTCACTCTCCACTGCAGTCTTGCAGGAGCCCTTCCGTCCTCTGACATTACTCCCAAGAATGCTTACCTGTCCTTACCTGCTGTGACTCATTCATATCATGAAGCTGTCTGCTCCCCTCCCAACCCATGAAGCCTGTTGATACACTGCAAGTCTGACTTTCTTCCTACCTCCCTAAATTTTCTTCATCAGCACATTTTTCTCTGTTTATCCATTAAATACCACCATGGACAGGATAAATTTGGGGTCTTCTTACCCTTGACCCTGGACCCTTTTTCTGTGTCCTGGTGGCCCACATTTTCCCATATGGAGTTTTCAGAGACTAAATATTCCTCATAATATACCTGGGGTTCGATTCTGTCAGCTGTATATTCAGACATGTCCAAATCTCAATTCACTGTCCTCCCTGACAGCCCCTTTATAAGCTCTTCTCAGAACTCTAACTGATCTTTCTATTTTGATTCTTAGGATGACTTCATCCTTTCCTGCAATAAAGATATATGGTCTTTCAAATACAAATCTCTTCCACTTTAAATCCATTAATAGTTGTCTATTCCCTCAAAGTAGTGAATTCTTGTCAAGATGGAGCTAAATTCCATAGAACACCATGTATGGCGATGGCCCCAGGGTCTGGTCTCTGCAGGCATCTCTCAGCCATCTACGCCATACTGCACTACTTCCAGGACTCAGTTGCATGGTGTTCATTCTGAGTCCTCTAGTCCCTTTCACCTGCTGCCCCACCCCTCCTACAAAGCCATTCCTCATCTGATCAGTACTTACTCATCCTTCATAAATTAGCCTGAATAAGATTTCCTCCCCCAGACCTTCCTGAGTTACCCCAAAGTCTGCTGGGTGCTGCACCTACATGCTCCCAGCCTCTGTGTTTTAATGCTTGTCTCCTTGTCTCACCTATGACAAGCTCTCAGGGTGAGAAGCAGGGTCACACTGCTTTCTGTATTTCTTATTCTTAAAATGGTACCTTGCATCAAGTCAGAATGGAACAAAAAGCTGCCATAGTGTGTGAAAGAAAGAATGGATGGACTATCCCAGTGGAGTGTCTCTTCATGTGTGTGAGAGTCCCCACGCAACAAGCATTGCCTGGTCTTAGATATTCATAATTCCCTGTGGATGATATTAACATCCACATGAAGTCCTGCAATAATGGAAGCTTCAGTGTTGTCTAGCACAGAACTCCCAAACTGAACACCATGCCCTTTTTCCACAATACGAACCCATATCCTCTGTGTTAAATAAAAATATGTGCTCTGATTGAGTAAGGACAAACTGACTTTGTCAAGCAATACAGGAACCAGTGTGTCTAGAAAGGAGAGCAGGGGGGGAGAGGGTATCAGATAAAGCCAGAGATAACAGGAACTCAGCCCATGAAGCTCCCAAACTGAACACCATGCCCTTTTTCCACAATATGAACCCATATCCTCTGTGTTAAATAAAAATATTGTCAAGCAATACAGGAACCAGTGTGTCTAGAAAGGAGAGCAGCGGGGGAGAGGGTATCAGATAAAGCCAGAGATAACAGGAACTCAGCCCATGAGGGGCCTTATGCATCACAGTAAGGACTTGGACTTTTACTCTCAGTAAGACAGAAAATCATTAGTAGACTTTGTTCACAGAAGTTCCTGGATCTGACTTATATCTTAACAAGGCTCAGGCTGCTTTGCTGAGAAAATGCTGATAGATCGTAGCAGAGGAGACCAGGGAAGAGCATTTGCCAGTTACCAAGACAATAGATGGTGATGGCTTGGGACAAGTTAGTGGCAATAGGAAGTCAGGAAATGTAGTCAAATTGATGAAAGTTGAAACAATTATAAAGGAAACATTCAAGGGCCACCCAACATCTACAATTATCAAAATTCTGCTCTTATATGCCTTAGCACATATAGCCATCTGTCTGTCCTTTAAAACATTCATCAAGTACATGGGAGAAGCTGATGACAGTGACTTCAAAGTATTATAGGGTTTGTTTTTGTTTTGTTGTGAGAAGAGTTTTCTCTTGATTGAGATATAATTCACATATACATAAATATGTATCAGTGTATATATGTATATATATTTCATACATAGACACACACATCATAATAATGACTCCAAGGTTGCTAACAGGCAATAATAAAGGTGTAGCTGGCATTAACTAGTGAGGTGTACACTGAGGCACAAGGGGAAGGCAGAAATCAGAAGTTCAAGTCTGTAAGTTTCGAGATGTCTATTAGACATCTAAGCAGAAAGGCTGAACAGGCAGTTGAACACAGAAGTATAGTGCATATGGGGGAGTCCAGTCTAGAAATACAGATTCTTAGGTGACTCTTCTTAATCACAGAGGCTGGATCTAGAAAGCATATGTATCAGTAGATGCTCGGTGATAACTATTTCTTTTTTCTTCTACTTCCTTCGTTCTTCCTCCTCCCCCTCCCCCTCCTCCTCCCCCTTCTTTAGAGATAGGATCTCATTATATACCCCAGGTGGGCTTTGACTATATCCTCCTGCTGCCTTAGCCTCCCATGTGCCAGAACTACAGATGTTTACCAACACACTCACTATGACTTCCAGTTTAATAGGGATGAAAAAGAGAGAAATGACTAACAGTCAAAATGACTGTCTATCCTTTCAATGTCCCAGACAGATCACATACCCTGATACAGCAAGTATCCAGCCAAAATAAAAAGAACCCTATGATCTTATCTACCTTTAACCATTTCAACTGCAAATTAGTAATTATACATGGAAAATGATTCTTATTTCAGTCCAATTTTAGTCACATGTTTCTGGAGTCTAATAATATGTTTATAGTGAAGGAATAAAATCTCTAAAAATAAACACATATGTGACATATGTGGGACATCAAGAAGCTATTTTAAGGTCTTAATTTTCAGAATGTAATTACTGGCATTTTCTTGCCTAATTCCAATATATAGTTGCAATGTGGTACATAACATATAAATCTCCTAGGAAAAAGAATTCCATGTAAAATAAAATACATTCTTTGATATTACATGTGACTATCAGTGAGGCAAAGGTCATTCTAAGGATGAATAAATGTCAGTAAACCACTTGTTTCTGGATATACTTAAAAAAGTGACAAGAGCACATTTCTTAGAACATAAAATCAGTAAGTATGGGCCAGTGAGACGGTTCAGCGGGTAAAGGTGCTTAGTACCAAGACCAACAACCTGAGTTCCATCTCCAGACCTACATGGTAAAAGGAAATAAGGGACTCCCCCAAGTTTTCCACACATACACGCACAATAAATGAAATTTCAAAGATTAGTAAATAGGAAAACTATGATAGAGGAATTCCACATGCATACCTTATTCCACATCGCATTTACAGTTCTTAAACTTTCTGAAAGTTTATCTCTTTGACGCAAACTCAGGCTTTCATCGGAAAGCATTTCCAGTTCTGTTCTGTTCAGCCATTTGAGCTTGTCGGCTTGCAGTTCCATCTCTTGGGTTAAGTCCTGAAAGTGTCAGAAGACAAGTGTGGTTAGATAGTTGTTCTACAGGGCAAGTTCAGGAAGCATACCAGAACTCTCTTGGAAAAGTACTCTTGTAAATGTGGAATTCTAGATTCATAAATGGAAAATAACTTACCAAAACTGTTAACCAACTCTAACTCATAGAATATGAACACATACTTGTGTGCATTTTTGTGTATATACATGAACAAACACAATCTCTAAGAAAATCGTATTTTAATTTTAATTATGTATATATGTGTGTGTGGGTATGTGCACATGTGAATGAAGGTACCCACAGAGTTCAGATAAGGGTGTCGAATCCCTTGGAGCTAGAGTTATAGGTGGTTGTAATCTAGCTGACATGGGTGCCAGTAACTGAACTCAGGTCCTCTGCAAGAGCAGTGCTCTTTTTTTTTTTTAATTATTTATTTAATAACCATATAATTAGAAGAAGCATTTCATTACAACAGCATTGATATATTCAATAACAATTTCCAGAGCTAAGATGCATCTCTTTCAAAATTTGCTGTAATTTTTAGCTTTACAGC